TCCCTTATAAAAAAGCAATTCGTCTGTAACTTATCAGACGTGTTTATTTGTCAAGAAACTGTAAAGTTCACATGAAAGATAAATATCATGTTTATTAAGAAACACTGTACATAAAGGTAAATACAGTTCGTATGAAAGGAACGAGATGTTGAGAAATGATTTGGCAGAGTACAGAATTATGAGTGTAATGGTTTCCTTGGAATGAATGAGTAGAAATTTCGAAAAAAAAAATTTCAGCATCATTTGGTGGATTATGAAGTTATTTTAGTGATCGAGAGTGCTTAAGCATTCATACTGCTGAAGCGTTTGACGATTGCACTGATCTACTGAACATAGCCTCATTGCTATCGTTGGTATCGACAGGCGAAGCAATCCGCCTAAATGCATTATTGTTGATAGATAAAAGATCACTGAAGTGATAAGGTGTGATAGCAGTTGCTTGAATCGAGAACTGATTCAACGTAGAAGGGAAGTGATCGAATCGTATGGCCGCCGCAGACGCCGATCGTAGTAAGGATGAAAAGGCGACAGCATCCGGAGATTGGTACTGTATCGTGTCGATATTTGACACACTTCCGAAGTTGTATTTTTCTGTAGTTGATTGATTGCTGAAAATTTTTGGTTAATGAATGCAACATATTAAGACATGCGTTGAATTTCTGTATTCATTTGTCTATTCGAATCGCCTCGTGAGTTAAATTTCAATAATGATAGGCGGATTCGCAATCTACGAGGAACTCCAATTAACAATAAGTTTGATTATTTGAAATGATCATTCTCTGGAGTGCTCCATTTGTAAACATTAAAAGATCACTGTACAATCAACTTTTCTGAACGACGATGAAACAAATAATTTGTTGTAATGAAGAGTTCTCACATATATATCAATAGCCTTTAAAAAAAGTTTTTAAAAAAATTATTTAAACCTTCGAGAGGTCATTTCCTCGCATAGACTAGACATATTGTTACAGTTCACTCGTTTTTTCTCCTTCGTGCGACGGTTTTGAAACCATACTTTCACCTGAAAAATACAATAAAGCTCCATGTTCCAATTGAAGATTATTGTAAAATGCAAGGAGGATTCATCCATTACAGTTTAATTCGAATCATAAATCTGTTACAAAAAATTGTTAGGAATGAATGAGACTGCTTCGAAGTGATCATTCAAAGAGACAATTTAAGAAGCATCTACTAGTGGCAATGTGATATATGATTTNACTCGTTTTTTCTCCTTCGTGCGACGGTTTTGAAACCATACTTTCACCTGAAAAATACAATAAAGCTCCATGTTCCAATTGAAGATTATTGTAAAATGCAAGGAGGATTCATCCATTACAGTTTAATTCGAATCATAAATCTGTTACAAAAAATTGTTAGGAATGAATGAGACTGCTTCGAAGTGATCATTCAAAGAGACAATTTAAGAAGCATCTACTAGTGGCAATGTGATATATGATTTTAAAGGATTGTTGGAAAGGCTTCCAGAATCGGTGTATCAACGAGAAGCGACATGATAAGATGCGATAAGCTGTATATTTTCACTGACATTCGAATCGTATCGAATGAACGGCTGACATTCAACGAATCATTCATCACCTGTGTGTCAGTGAGTTTCAGTTTATCGGCCAGCTTCACACGATCCTCGCCAATCAGATACGGATTTTGTTCGTATTCTTTTTCGAGTTCGTTCAGTTGATATGTCGAAAACGTTGTGCGCGGGCGTTTTGGTCGATACAAATCCAATGCCTTCGGAAAAAGCATTTCACGCACTTCACCTTTCGAATCTGCAAATGTCATCTTACTTACAGTGTATCTGAGGTGAACATTGAGATATATTTGTAACATGTTGATCAATGAGTAGATCTAAAATGAGCATTTCATCATTGATAACTGAAATACAAATGAGACGGGGACAAGAGTCATAGAAGTAACGGAAAAAAGACAT